GCTTTCTACTCCCGTAAAGATTTACACCCTCGGAAACCCTGTACAGGGTCGCTATGGGTCGGAACTGACTCGACGGCACTTAACAACAACAACAGTGACCTTGAGACCAGAACTAGATGGTGCCCAGCCACCACTACCAACTGCTCTGATAGGGATCACAGTAAAAGGTCACACAGATAGAGTGGAAGAAAATGTAGAACAAAATTCAAAATCATAAAAAAGACCAGGCTTATTGGTCAGGTGGAGACTGGAAGAACGCAAGAGACTATGGCCCTTGGTCATGCTTCAGGTCTTGAACTGAACTCACCCCTGTAGCTCAATTTTTAGCGAAGCAATAGGTAAGTATATAGGGGAGACAACAACACTAGTGAGGTCTGCACACCATAAAATAGTCAAGCTTTCGAGATCAGAAGGGCAGCGTTTACCTAAAGACATAATTCAGAAGTGTGGAGAAAGAAAGAAGAATGGAAACAAGAACCACAGGGCAGAAGTGGGCTAAGTGAGGTGACATTGAAGGGACTGCACTCAAGAGGAAATGAAGTGGATGATTTGTTGAATGTGAAACTGATCTGCTCTGTAAACCTTTACTCAATTCACAATAATTAAAAAAGGAAAAAGAGGAAAAAGAAGGATTAGCTTGGCAGACAGAGTCCTTCCATCGTTTCTGCCAATGAGACCCTCTTAATGACTGCCATAGAAGAGGCAAGACTGACATAAAGAATGGCGCATCAAGTTATCCTACAGTTTTGTCTGAAAAATTACTCCACATGAAATCAACTCTTGATTCATTCATTTCTCATTCTATGAATCAGAACATAGCTTTAGTTTTGATCAAAGTTTTGTTGATTACAATATAAACTAACTTTTGGATTTTTGCCTTTATTTCTGTGTTTATTCATTCTTTTTCAGTCTAATCACCAGTATATGTTTTCAACTGTCATCTAAATGTTGTTGATTATTAGACAAAAATAATATTTCAGGATTTTTTTTAAGTTAGGAAAAAATGAAGTCTTCCTTCTACTATCAATGAGGAAATCTTGATTTTCTTTGTTATTTTTTTAATCAATAGGGCCTCCCTTCCTCAATAAACATCTGCCAAGTTGAAGAATGATATGAGAGGGGTTAGCTCAGCCCAGAACACACGCTGCTAGCCTGGGTCCCACCCTGGACCCTTAGTTTCCCCTTTGAGGTGTCTCACTGGTTTTGAGCAGTCAGAATCACCAAGGCTGTAGCCACAGAGATTTTTTGTCCACCTTCCTGCCAGGGGATTGGGAGGTGGGGGAACACATACTTGTAGATGGCGCTGTCCTTCTTGGGACTGTGCTGCGGCAGGAGGCTATGGGAGTACTGGTGCACACCCAGGTCATAGAGTGAGGGGAAGTCCTTGCCACAGAGGTGGCAGCGGTAGCTCAGCTCCTCCTGGTGGCTTTTGATGTGCTCCAGAAATGTGTCGAGCTTCGGGAATGTCTGGGCGCAGCTCTTGACCACACATTTGTATACCTTAAAGGAAAATGCAGGGCAGGTAAGGGCCAAGGAGAGCTCCCCCTACCCTGTGGCATGTGCCTTGGACACTGCAGGTGGACCGCCAAGTCCCTGCTCCCTGGGTTTTGTTTTGCTTAGTGGGTCCTCTCTTCTAAACCAATCACTATGACTCCATGGCCCCTGCCATGTGCTTCGTGAGGCCTGAACATGTTTAGAAAACTTGGGAGTAAGTGGAACAATGACCGACATCTTGTCAATACCATGCTAGAATAATCGGTGCCACTTCCAGAGATTCTGATTCAGCATATGTGGCAGGCCTGAGAATGTGCATTCCTAACCAGTGTCCCAGTGCTGCTGCTGCTGCTGATCCAGTGCCCGGACTTGAAGAACCACATTCAGAGCACTGCCTAGCAAGCCTGCCTGAGAGTCAACTCTGAGACGTGCAGCTTGTTTCTATTCACTATCTACTACTGACTGGGAACTCTGGTGGCATAGTGGTTAGGAGTCAGGCTGCTAATCTCGAGGTCAGCAGTTTGTAACTACCAGCAGTTCCATGGGAGAAAGATGAGGCTTTCTGCTCCCGTAAAGATTTACAGCCTCGGAAACCCTGGAGAGGGTCGCTGTGAGTCGGAACTGCCTCCACGGCACACTACCACCACCACCATCTACTACTGATTAGGATTCAGACTCTGTAAAGTTAAATACTAGTGTTGTTGTTGTTAGGTGCCATCAAGTTGGTTCTCACTTAAAGCAACCCTCGGCACAACAGAATGTAACACCGCCTGGTCCCGTGCCATCCTCACAATTGTCACACTTGAGCCATGCTGCCACTGTGCCAATCTATCGCAGCAGGGGTCTGCCTCTTTTTCGCTGACACTCCGTTTTACTAAGATTTTGAGTGCCTTCCAATCTGAGGGGCTCATCTTTCGGCACTGTATCTGACAATATTCTGGTGCTATTTATAATGTTTTCATCTTCCAGCGCTATATCTGACAATGTTCTGATGCTATTCATAAGGTTTTCAGTGGCTAAACATTCAGAAGTGATCTGCTGTCCTTCTTCCTAGTCTGTCTTAGTCTGGAAGCTCTGCTGAAACCTGTCCACCTTGGGTGACCCAGTTGATGTTTTAAATACCAGAGGCATAACTTCCAGCGTCATAGCAACATGCAAGCCACCACAGTACAACAAACTGACAGAAGAGTGATGGACTTAAATGCTAACGCACAAAAAACTGATTGGATGCAAATGAGTTTGTCAGGTAAATCTACCCAGTCGCCTCATAGGACAAGAAAGGATCCCTGGTGGCACAGTGATTAAAGTGCTAAGCTACTAACCAGAAGCTTAGTTAATACCCACCAGCTGCTCCATGGGAGAAAGATACAGCAGTCTACTGCCGTAAAGATGGACAGCCTTGGAAAGAAGCCCTATGAGGCAAGTTCTAGTCTGTCCTACAAGTTGGGGGTCACCCTAAATTGGAACTGACTTAACAGCAACGGGTCTGGGTAAGAGATGAACAAGCTGAATCTCTAGCTCAGCAATCTTATCTCAGTATTTCTTTTTTTCTCTAATATGTTTCTAGAGTCCTGGTGTGGTGCCACAGGATATGCACTTGACCTCAAGGTCAGTTTGAACCACAAGGTCGGCGGTTCAAAATCACCAACCACTCCTCAGAAACACTATGAACTGGAACTGACTAGATGGCACTTAACAACATAGAAATATATCAGTGGTCCAGTGCTTTATCCTGCAGCACCACACCAGGACTCTGATACAATGCTGTATAGATACTGATTTCTCATACAGTCCAGTGGACCCGCTGTACTATCTTTGCGACTTCCCGTGGATTTGTAATTATTTTGAAATGAAGTTTAAAACAAAAAAGTCTATCTCAAAGAAAAGAGCATAATTCAAAATTATATGTGCATGTATGATCCCAATTACGTACATACTGAAATGTAGAAGCTAAAATATATATACATATATATACTGGATTTTGTATTAATAACAAGAACTACTGCTGAATTATAAGATTATAGGTGATGAGTGTTTTCTCAGGAGGACATAGTACATGGTGGTTGATGGCATGGGGTTTGGAGTCAACTGTAGTTGGCTTTGAATCCTGACTTGGTCACTTACTGGCAGTGAGACTGTGGATGGGTCACTTCACCTCTCTGAGCTTCTGTTTCCTCATCTGTAAGACAGCTGTACTGAGAAGGCCTATCTGTAACACTGTTTTGAAAATGATATCAAATATTGAATATAAAGCACTAAGCAGAATGCTCGGCACATAGTAAATATATGCTTTAATTTTCTGAATTTTCTAATTTTATACTGGTAACTTGGTACTTTTATAAAGAGAAATATATAGCAATAAAATTTATTATAAAAATTAAAGACTAGAACAGTTATCATACAACCCAGTAATTCCACTCCTAGGTATATACGCAAGAGAATTGAAATATATGTTTACATAAAAATTTGTACACATAATAGTTCATAGGAACTTTATTTATAATAGCACAAAAGCAGAACAATCCAAATGTCTATCAATTGATGAACAGATTTAAAAAATCTGGTATATCCATACAATGAAATACTATTTTTCCATAAAAAGGAATAAAGTAAAATTTACAAAAAGAAGGGGGGGTGGCTAAAGTTTGGATATATGTTATGAACATTGAAAGGATCTCTGGGAGCATAGTGGTTACAAATTGGGCTGTGAACCTCAAGGTCAGCAGCTCAAAACTACCATCTGTTCCACCAGAGAAAGATGAGGCTTTTTGCTCCGGTAAAGATTTACAGCCTCAGAAACCCTATGCAGGGTCGCTATGAGTAGGAACTGACTCCATGACATATAACAACAACAACAAATGAACACTGAAATGAATAATCATTGAAACATTATGCTAAAAGAATCCAGATACCAAAAGATATATATTGTATGAGGCCATTTATATAAAATGTCCAGAATAGGCAAATCCATAGAGATAGAAAATAGATTAGCTTAGTGGTGGTCAGGGATTAGGGAGAGGGAGGCATGAGGAGAGACTGACTACAGCATTTCTGTTGCAAGTAGAGAGTGTTCTAGAATTAGGTTAATAGTGATGTTTGCATAACCTTATGACTAGACTAAAAACTATGTAAGTATATACTTCAAAAGAGAGAATTCTATGTTAGATGAACTACAAAAGAAAGACTAGAATCCAACACCCCCTTAGGTAGGTTTTCAGACATTAAATCTTCTCAGGGCATTATGAATTTTCCTCAAGTTTGACTCCCTTCATCACATGACATTCAAGAGGAGTGCCTTCTCTGACAGTTAACATCAAGTGGCTCTGCAGGTAGAGCAAGCAGGGTGCCCAGCAGACTATAACTACATAGGTCAACAGCATTGGTGATAAGGTGACACCTCTAGTAGGCCCCAGAACCAGCCAGTGCTCAGGATGGGTTGGCTGTGGCTACCTGTCACCCACTTACCTGTTCATTTTTATGCTGGGTCATGTGAGACTTGAGCTGGAAATAGGTGCTGAACTTGCTGGGGCAGAACTGGCACAGGTAGGAGCTATCGATGAGTACCACCCGTTTGGTCTCCAGCTTGTCCCCTTCAGCCTCGCCTGCTGTGGGCAAGGCCTGGGCCTGAGGAATGCTGGACAGGGTCTGGCCTAACCCTGTGGAGAGAGCCAAGGAGAAGGCACTAGTAAGGCAGAGAGAGTCAGGGCAGAGAGCCGTGGCACTGGGGAAGGATCCACAGAGCACTTTCTGCATATCCACCCTACCACCTACCACCGACTCTGTGCTTGGTGTTGGGCACTGTACTCAAGGCACATCCAGATGGTATGTATGGATACAGCCATTCCAGATGATGAAGTATTGAAATTCTTGCATTAAATCAAAAACCAAACCCAATGCCATGGAGTCAGTTCTGACACAGAACAATCCTAATAGAACACATAATTGCCCCCGAAGGTTTCCAAGGCTGTGATCTTTACGAAAGCAAACTGCCACATCTGTCTCTTGTGGAGCAGCTGATGGATTCAAGCCAACGACCTTTTGATTAGCAGCTGAGCACTTTAACCTTGCCTAATGGATAAACAGAGTCCTGATGTGGCGCTGTGGGTTAATGCGCAGGACTGCAAAGTCAGTGTGAACTGCAAGGTCAGTGGTTCGAGCTTACCAGCTACTCCTTGAAAACCCAAAATAGGATCACGATGGGTCAGAACCAACTCTACAGCACTTAACAACAACAACAACAACAATGGATAAATAACTGTTGCCTTAGTGGCCCTGCTCTGCTCTTTCCCTCAGGCCCTGTAGAACTCTTCATGGTTGTGGAAAGTCTTAACATCTGTCCTAGTTGTACTTAGACTACCTCCCCAGTCACCTGTTTTCATTATAATAATTTTTAAGTTGTCCCTCCCTCACTAGACCATTCTTCATTCTCCTTGAGGCCTAACAAACAGGAGAGGCTTTCACAGATGGTTGCTAAATGGTTGAACTCTTGGTGCTAGGCTCTATAGAATTTTGCAAGAAATGGTTTCTTTCCCAAAGAGCTCAAAGGAATTCAGAGGGCACATATATAACAGCTAGCACAAGGTGGGGTTAGTTCTAACAGGAGCACTGAAGGAAAGAAGGTATCTAAAACTCGCCACACATTGCTTGATCAGCAAAACTTGCCCTTCAGAGTCAGCATGTGGCTGGCCTTGCCCATCTCTGGGCAGCATAGGAAGTACTCAGGCTTTGACTCTGCACTGTCCAATATGACAGCCATGAGCCACATGTACTTACTGAGAACGTGAAATGTGGCTAGTCCAACTTCAGATGTGCTGTAAATGTAAAACACATACCACACTTTGAAAATTTTGCATGAAAAAAGGATGCAGAGACTTCCAGAGCAAGATGGCAGAGAAGGCAGACATGCTGAGCAGACCTCCTGCAACAAGGACACAGAGACCAAGTGAAACAGATACAGATGGTGAGCCTGGAACCCTGAGCTTCAGAGAACAGTCTAGAGGAGTGGAATGAGTGCTGACGGGAAGAGGAACCTGAGCAGGAGCGGTGAGAGAGGAGACACAGATGGGCAGGTTCGTGGCTGCACTGAAGTGTCATGGCCATCTTGAGCCTTTACAGACAGCTGATTGCTACAGTGGCCTGGAGGCACGGGAAGTGGAAGCTGGATGGTGGTGGTGAGGGAGGTGTGGTTCTCCTTTGTTCCTCCTGGTAGCTGGGGCATTGCCAATGTTTTCTCACCCTCCTGCACAGCCTCTGCTTTGCTTGGGATTGGGCATTGGGCGTATCACTCCTGTGTATCAAGGTGCAAGAAATTTGCCTCAACAGATCTTTTATATGAAGACTGGAAACAAAGAGGAAGGATCAGTAGTTGGAAAACATGACCTGGTGATAGACACGATGCTGGAGATCGCATAACAGAATTTTGCAAGACTAATGACTTCATTGCAAATACTTTTTTAAAATAACATAAAAGACACGTGGACCTCACCAGGTGGAATACATAGGATTCAAATTGACTACATATGTGGGAAGAGACATTGGAAAATCTTCATATCGTCAGCCAAAACAAGGCCAGCGGTAGATTGTGGAGTAGACCATCAATTGCTCAGATGCAAGTTCAGGCTGAAGCTGAAGAAAATTAGAACATATCCCACGTGAATTTAGAGAGCATCTCAAGAACAGATTTGATTACTATTGAATACTAATAACCAAAGACCAGAAGAGCTGTGGGATGATGTCAACAACAGCATACAGGAAGATAGCAAAAGGTCTTTAAGAAGACAAGAAAGAAGGAAAAGACAAAAAAGGATGTCTAAAGAGACTCTGAAACTTGCTCTCCAGCGTAGAGATGCTAAAGAAAATGTAAGAAATAAAGAAGTAGAAGAACTGAAGAGAAAATTTCAAAGGGTTTCTCAAGAAGACAAAGTCAAGTATTATCATGAAATGTGCAAAGACCTGGTGTTAGAAAACCAAAGGGAAGAACATTATCAACATTTCTCAAGCTGCAAGAATTGAAGGAAAAATTCAAGCCTCTACTTGGCAATATAAAATAATTCTACGGGCAAAATATTGAATGAGGCAGAAAGCATCAAAACAAGATAGAAAGGATATACAGAGTCACTGTACTAAAAAAGAAATGGTCAACGGACAACCATTTCAAGAGGTAGCATATGATCAAGAACCAATAGTACTGAAGGAAGACATCCAAGGTACACTGAAGATTCTGGCAAAAAAACAAAGCTTCAGGAATTGATGGAAAACAAATTAAAATTATTCAACAAATTGATTCAATACTGGAGGCGCTCACTCATCTTTGCCAAGAAATTTGGCCAACTGATTGGAAGAGATCCATATTTGTGCCCATGCCAAAAAGTGGTGACCCAATGGGATGCAGAAATCATCGAGCAATATCATTAATATCACATACTACCAAAATTTTGCTGAAGATAATTAAAAAACAGCTGCAATAGTACAATAATAGGGAACTGCCAGGAACTCAAGCCAAATCCAGAAGAGAATGTGGAATAAGAGATATCACTGCTGACGTCAGATGGATCTTAGCTGAAAGCAGAGAATACCAGAGAGATGTTTATTTGTGCTTTATTGACTATGCAAAGGTTTCTGACTGTGTGGATCATGACAAACTATAGATAACACTGCAAAGGGTGGGTATTCCAGAATACTTAAAGTACTTATCGATGAAGATGAAAGACCACAGTCTTCAGTATGGGTTGCATCTCAATGTACAGAAAACAAAATTCCTCACAACTGGACCAGTAAATAACATCTTGATAAATGGAGAAAGGATCAAAGTTATCCAAATGCTTCATTTTGCTTGGATCCATTATCAACACTCATGGGAGCAGCAGTTATGAAATCAAATGATATATTACATTAGGCAAATTTGCTGCATAAGACATCTTTTAAAGTATTCAAAAATAAAGATGTCAGTTTGAGTATTAAGGTGTACCTGACCCAAGCCATGATATTTTCAATATTCTCCTATGTATGTGAATAAGGAAGACCATAGAAGAATTGGTACATTTAGTTATGGTGTTGGAAAAGAATATGAAAGGTACCATGGGCTAGCAGAAGAACAAACAAATCTGTATTGGAAGAAGTATAGCCAGAATACTCCTTAGAAGCCAGGATGGCCAGACTTCCTCTCTCATACTTTGGACATGTTATCAGGAAGGACTAGTCCCTGTAGAAGGATATCATGCTTGGTAAAGTAGATGGTTAGTGAAAAAGAGGAAGACCCCACAAGGAGATAAGACTGGTACAGTAGCAGCAGCAATGAGCTCAAGCATAACAACTATTGTGAGCATGGTGCAGGACCAGGCAGTGTCCCCAGGGTCGTTACGAGTCAAAACTGACTCAACGGCACCTAACAGCAACAATAGATCTTTTATTGCTAGTTTTTTGTTTGTTTGTTTGTTTGGGGAGACAGCAATTGTGCCCAGATGGCCCAGGCATATCTGTACCTTCTGTGGCTCCACTCACTGGGCAAGTGCCACTACTCACCCCTGCACTACCTGATCAATGACATTAAGCAGCCACATCAGACAAATTCGCCCTTAACTACACTACACAAACAGTGAACAGAGAATTGTGTACAAACTTCAAGTCTCTATCACATCCACTAGGATATAGGTGGTAAGAGCTTGAAAACACACTAAGATACAATCATCAATTAAATATAAATACAAGGACACCACAAAGTCTTGGAGACTTTCATTTCAGTTTACACTAGGAACCAAGACAGAGTGCCTCAAACAAGTGACCGAAATAGAGTCAGAAAATATAATACCAGAAGTTGTATAAGAATTACCTGATAAAGAATTCAGATGAAAGATATTTGGGTGCCTTCAACTAATTAAGAAAATGAGCAAGAAAACGGCAGAGGAAATCAGACAAAACTTCAGAAGAATTCAGGAAAACACTACAGGAACAAATTGACAAAATAAATGAAAAATTGGAAACCATACAAACAGCAAATAGAAAACCAAAAGATTAATACTAAGATTTCAGAAACAGACAATACATGGAAAGGACAAAGAAGTAGAATTAAACCAACGGAAGTCCTAATTAGTGAGCTTAAGGGTAAGTCTCTCCTAGAGGAACAATCAGAAAAAAATCCAAAGAAAACCTAAGATTTATGTGGGATACTGTCAAGAGGAACAAATTCTGTATATCCAGAATTCCAGAATAGGAAGAGACAAAAACAAAACAACAACAACAACAAAAAAAAACCCATAGAGAAAACTGTTGAAGAGTTGTTGGAAGAAAACTTTCCTAACATTAAAATTATGAGAATATATGCATTCAAGAAGTTGAACAGACTCTTAAATAAGAGAGACCCCAAAAGAAAATCACCAAGAAATATTATACTTAAACTTTTCAAAACTAAAGACAAGGAAAGAATCCTGAGAGTAGCTCAGGAAAAACAAAAAGTTACCTACAAAGGAGAACTAATAAAACTAAGCTCTGATTTCTCATCAGAAACTATGCAGGCAAGAAGACAATTATTATCCTTAATACATATAAAACTCTGGAAAAAAAATTGTCTACCATGAATCATATACTCAGCAAAACTGTCCATCAAACATTACAGCAAAATTAGGACTTTTCCAGATAAACAAAAATGAAAAGAATTTATAAAAATTAAACCAACCTTACAAAAAGTTCTAAAGGAAGATCACTGGGGAGTGAACCAGTAGCAGACAATAACCTGAGATTCACATACATGACAACACTACCCAGAACTCCACCTAGATATGTTGCTGCTGTTAAGTGCCATCAAGTCGGTTCCGACCCCATAGCGACCCTGTATAGAGTTTCCACGGAGCAACTGGTGAGCTTGAACCGCCAATCTTGCAGATCAAACCAACTTTATAGTTCAGTGCATTAACCCACAGTGCCACACCAGGACTCGCCACCCAGATATAGAAGTATCCAAAGTAAAACAAACCTACAAAACTGAAAATAGGGAACCAGAGATATCAGCTTGCTACCAGAAAAAACAAACACAAAGTAAAATAGAACAATGTAGTTACAGAACTTCCAAATGAGGAGGAAATCAAGTAGATTTCAAGAAAAAATTAAATAAATAAATAAAAATCTAATTATAACCCAAAATTTAGACTAAGCCTTACTTCTAGTCCAAGTCCAACCCATACATCTAACCCTAGTCCTTAATGAAGTCCTAAACCTAGCCTAGACCTAGACATAGTGCTAACCCTAACTACTCACTCCTCTCCACCCCAAAATAAATAAAACATTTTTTAAAAAGATGTAAAACATTTCATCAATAATTTCTTTAATTCAATAGCAGAATCCTGATCAAAAGGGGGGAAATGCAGAACAGAATTTCATATTCTCATGAAATTCAGATTTCTAGAGCCATTGAAAGGAGCTCTGGTAGCGTAGTGGTTACGAATCGGGCTGTGAACTGTAAGGTCAGCAGTTCGAAACTACCAGTGGTTCCGCGGGAGAAAGATGAGGCGTTCTGCTCCCGTAAAGATTTACAGCCTCGGAAACCCTGTGCAGGGTCGCTATGAGTCAGAACCGACTCCACAGCACATAACAACAACAACAACAACAGAGCCATTGAGGCTAAATGAAGCCTTGAAACTACTGCCCTGAGATAATCTTTACACCTTAAACCAAAAACATCCCCTGGAAATCTTAAAACCTAACAACTGTTTAGCTTAATTAGTAAAGAATGTCTGTCTTGAGAACAGTGCTCTTTTAAGCTCTCTCTATATGGGACCAAGCTGACAATATCAACTGGAAAGATGAGTGAGGAACCTTAAGGGGCAGTGAGGTTATGTTAATGAGGGAGGAACGCTTCAGAAGAAGGGGGCTGTACATCTCAAGAATGTAATCAGTGTCACTGAATTGCACATGTACAGATTGCTGAATTGGCAGACGTTCTGCTGTGTCTATTCTCAAGAACAACAAAAATAAAATCAATTATAAAAAAATAAGTAATTCTTGTATATTACATGTTTGAATAATATTATTTGAAACATGCAGGGCTAACTGTATTATTAAAATTAATGTCGCCTTCTTAATTAATTTCAATTGTTTTTAATAAAGCTATTGCAACATGAAAAATTCTATGCTTATATTTAAAAATTTAGGTTATATTTCTTGGACAGTGCTTCTCTCAACATAGTATGTTCCTCTCTATGTAAGAGAGGACAATACCAACATCAGGGACAGGGCTATCTGTGTAAGGACAAGTGATGGTTCGATGAGAATCCCACAAAGTATGAATGACCTTGGAGACCACCTGTCCACAGAGGCCCAATAGGTTTTAACTCCTGATCAATTGCCTTCAACAATGTATTGAAAAACTGTGGTGGGATCTAGGCTCAGCAGAAAAGGCAGGTAGTTGTTTAATGATGTCTGTTGTGGTACTAGATTAGAGTCGTATCACACATAATGGTATATTTGTTGTCCCTCTTTTTGTCTTATTCTTATATTACATATAAGCAGAATGAAGCCCAGAGAGGTCAAGAAGAATGCTCAAGGACATACAGCTAGCAACAAAACTTGTGAGGTTACAGAGGAGACGTGTGAGGAGGGTGGTTTTCTCCACCTCCACCCACCTGTGCTTTCCTCATCCTCCTGCCTGCTGGGGTTCAGGGCCATGACCTGCACGGTTACAGAGTTCCGGGAGACAGTGCCACCACTGCGCCCTGGGGGCCACACCTTGTGGGTCTGCATGTGTTTCTTGACATTAGACTTCTGGGCAAAGGCACGGCCACACGCGATGCACTGGAATGGCTTCTCACCGGTGTGGCTGTGGAGACAAGGTTTGTCAGCACCCTCCGACAGGGACAGAGATGTGACCTCAGCCTAGGTGCTCAGAGCTGCCCAGAAGGCTGAGACAGAGCATCCAAATGCTGCTGACAACCATCCTGACACTATGTGCCCACGCCCTTATGCTAGGCAATACAGACCAGAGATACAAAGACACTGGGCTCTTGATGGCACCGCTGCACTGCTGAATCAACCAAACCTGTTGGTGTTGTGAGGGGTCATCAAGTCGGTTCCAACTCATAGCGACACTATGCACAACAGAACGGTCCTGCACCATCCTCACAATGTTGTTACATTTGAGCCCATTACTGCTGCCACGTGTCAATCCATCTCATTGGGGTCTTCCAGTTTTTCACTGACCCTAATTCCCAATTAGGAAATGTATAATATCATAGTGAGAAATTACCAAGCATAATGTACTTTGGACATATCGTCAGGAGAGAACAATCCCCTGGAGAAGGACATCATGCTTGGTAATTTCTTACTATATTATACATTTCCTAATTATTTGTTGTTGCTAAGTGCTGTTGAGTTACTTCCGACTCATGGCAACCCTGTAGAGGGTTTCTGAGGAGTGGCTGGTAGGTTTGAACCTCCGACCTTTCGGTTAGCAGTGCAGTGCTTATCCACAACACTTGTATCATTATTTAACATTTTTCTTCAAATCAATTCATGTTTTTTTAAAAAAAAAGGTTTTGAAAACTCAAAGTAACTTTAAAAGGCCACTTTTTATTATTAGTGCATACGGACAATCACTTGTCATAAAGACAAAGTGACTGAAAAACAAATGCAATAACACAATGTGAATAAGATCTGTAGCTTTGCTGGCTTATACAGTACATACAAGTCATGTGAGATGATGTAAATTGAAACTTTTTAAATGAAAATTTCAAATCCAGCCCTTTAGTCACACTAGCTGCATTTGACGTACTCAATAGCTACACACAATGCGCGAACACCATATTGGATAGCATGGATTTAAGCATTTCCGTTGGTTTTGTCTCCTGGGGACACTTAGAAATGTCTGGAGACATTTTTGGTGGTCACAACTGAGGCTGAAAGCCAAGGAGATGCTTAATGGCATCTAGTAGACAGAGGTCTGAGATATGCTGAACATCCTGCAATGCATAGAGCAGCCCCCCACAGCAAAGCACTGTTTAAAATACCTCAAAGTCCAAGGTTGAAATCTCTGGCCTAGAGAGAAACTGCTGCTTGCCATGGTTGAAATTTGAGGTTTGCTTTCTCTCTCACTTTGTTATAAAAGAAGATTATCAAGTGAGAGATGTTAAAGACAGGCCAGCACCCTACTGAGACATTCTCCATCGAGTCCCCAAGGATGGAAAGAAATTGAAGAGGGAATCATTCATTTTGTCAGTACCTATTTCAGAAATTTCAGCACTATATCCATGAAGTACCTAAAATCATCTCTGGTACAGTGTATCTTACTCTATGGGAAACATGGAACAAGTCCACCCCTCTGTTTCACAGATATAATAACTGAGGCCAGAAGAGGCCCCTGCATGTTCTTGGGGCAAGAGGTGTTGTGGTTAGCCTTGCACTGAGCAGAAAGCAGGAGGGCAGCTCTTTCTGCACAGGTGATGAATGAAGCATCTGTCACATGACTACAAAGCCACTATCAGCTCAAGCAAAGTGCATCTGCCACTGCTCTGACCTGCCCATTGAGGTGGGCAGGCCCTGTAACTTTTGCTAGCGCTTTCCCACTGCTCGTGAGAGACTGCAGGCCTGAAATCTATGATAGGACAGAGTGGGGTCTGGCCACCACCTAGACTTTAGGGGCGGTGGTGGGTCGAGGTGAGAAGGGAGCCTTGCTCCTATGGCACAGGGCCTGCTAGCCAGGGCTTCCTAGAGGCCACCTGCCCAACCCCGCCTGGGTACCTTCGGATATGCTGCTGCAGGTCGAAATTTTTGGTGAACGACTTGTCACAGTATGAGCACTTGAGTTTCTGAGCCTTTGGCTTCCCTGCAGCTGAAAGAGAGCGCAGGATGAGAAGATGGAAGAAGAAACAGTGAGACTGAGAACACAGTTGAAGAGCCCAGGACAACCTCCAGACACCCTACCCTCCAGACCTAAAGCCAGACAGCCCACCCTACCCCCAACAGATCTACACCCCAGGACAAGCAAGGGATGAGGCATTGGGAACTTTTCACAATGTTGGGGGAAGAAAACCCAGACATGCTCAGGCTGGAAGAGCAGGACAAAGCCCTGAAGGGCTCCCCTCTTGCTATGGTCTACAGGGCTCAGCATCCTCTACTTCCCACCATCCTCATCAAGTCTCTCCAGCCAGCTGCAGTGGACTCCTTGCTAATCCTAGAAGACCCGAAGCAGAGCTGCACCTCAGGAACTTAGCTCCTGCTGTTCCCTATGCCGTTCTTCAACCTCAGAGGTCTTTCCTAAGTAACATCATTTCTCATCCCCTCCTAGTTATTCTCAGTCACCCACTCACTGCTGAACAGCCGGTCTGGACTTGTAGTGACCCTACAGTGCAGAGAAGAACTACCGCATCATAGCCTTTCTAAGGCTGTCAGTCTTTAAGGAAACAGATTGCTACATCTTTCTCCTGAGGAACAGCTGATAGATTTGAGTCACTAACCTTTTAGCTAGCAGCTGAGCACTTTAACCATAGTGCCACCAGTGTTCCTTATTCTCAATCACAGAACCCTGTTAATCTTCCAAGCACATGTTCACGACTCATAAATCCTTATTTATTCCCTGCCTTTCTTTCTCATTATCTGTGAGTTACATGGTAGCAGAGAAATTACAGATAAAATGCTGGAACCCTAACGCCTAACACCAGGCCTGGGACACAGACATTCAAAAAAAATTTGTGGAAGGAAAGGAAGAAATCAGCTGAGTGGAAAGTCTCTGAACAACTTGATTTTTCTTTCCTCCACTTCCATACTTAGCATCTCCGAAGGGGTGGTAGACACTATTGCCTGGCTTCCCAACATCTACTCTCCCTTTCTTTCTTTCTCACAAATTCCCTACTTCACAGGAACTTCAATCAAATTACCTGGCTAAAAGAGACATTTCCCAGCTTTCTTTGCAGTTAGGTATGGCCATATGACTAAGTTCTGATCTGAGATGGAAGATAAAGTATCACTTAGACCTTCTACCAAAAGCTAACACAGCTGGGAGGTACTATCTTTTGTCCTGATTTTCCTCCTTCTTATTGCTGGAATATAAAGTTGATGAATGGAGTTCCAGCAGCCCTCTTAAACAATGAGGCACACTGCTAAGAGAAGTCAGGCACTAGGGATGGGGACAAACATGGGTACCTTGTAACCACACAGTCAGACTCCAATTATCTACCTCTGACCTTGTTTTACACAGGAGAAAACAGCATTCTATTTTTGAAGTCACTATTATTTTGGATTTTCTATTACATGCAGTCAACCTTAATCCTCACCACCATGAAAGGATAGACCAGAATTAAGCACCCTGTGGAAAGGGTGATGCTGAGGAAGACACACATAGTGGGAGGGGGACCCACCTTCCGGGAGTCCACTGCCACCTTTGATCCGTCGGGTCTTCAGTGTTGGTGGAGAGTCAAAGGTGGCCACTGTGCCCCCAGTGGTGCTGGTCATGGGGACAGTGGAGTTTGGTCCTTTCGGTTTGAATCCCTGTTTGCCAGGGCTGTACACTGGAGGGGTGGTGTACACTGGAGCCTCCACACACTGGCTGGGCACCTAGAAGGGCAGTGCTGTCAGGGAAAGAGCCCTGGGAAGGGAGGAGCAGAGCTGGTCCAGTCAGAGGGACCCTCACTATGGCCCTGGCTGATCTCAGCTACTCCCCACCTATATCCACCATCTTAACCCCTCCACCTCTCCCAAGACCCCTTAGAAGTTCATGAAGCAGGCTGCCTGGGTTCAAATGCTGACTCTGTCACTTACCAGCTAAGTGACCTTGGGGCAAATCTTTTCACTTCTCTGTCTCAGTTTCCTCATTTGTAAAACAGGGCTCCTCAAAGTACTAGCCATCTATAAAATGGGGCTAGCCAAAGCAGCCCTCGCAGGATTCTGATAAGGATTGAGTGGCTTTGCTCCCCACAGTATTCCCAACCCTTAGTAGGTGCTCAGGAAAGGTCAAGGTGACCCATGATGACAATGACCCATTCTCCCCACTTCCCACCCCTGGCCTCTGCTCACCTCCAGGGGCGGGTAGGGCTGCATCCCTAATGCCTGGATCTCCACCGTTCCACTCGCGGCCAGGGGCGCAGCGGCACTGTACACCTCCACGACGCCATTCC